AAAAAAACAAAAATAACAAAAAAAATTCAGTCCTACAATGTGGATAAAAAAATTTTGTAAAAATAAAAATTTTAAATATGAATTATGATATAAAATTTATCAGATTTTTTTTCAAAGATAGTGTTTGATTTTTTAAATTAATTAATTAATTGACCTTTTGGTATTATGGATAATTTGTGAATTTATTATTAGTGCATTATGAATTTTTACTTTCTTTATCAATACTTCTCATTATGATATAAAGAAACAAAAATAAAAACAAAAAAAAAAATTAATTTATTACTTCGACTAATTTGCATATTATCATTATTTTCATTAGCTTTTTTAAGGATTTGTTTTATTTCGTTATGCAATAATTTTTCTGCAACAATTACTTCCGTACAAAAATCAGTTAATTTAATTGTCCAATGTGAATCAACAAGACAATTTTGTAAGCATAATAAGCCATGATACTGTACTGGTGATGAATGTAGAAAAAATACACCCTAAAAATTGATGTTATCATTTTAGAAAAGATAAAACTAATAAATTGTAAATTAAATATACAAATATTTTTATTATCGTTCATTTTAATTTGTGCATAGCATTTTGAAAATTTGAATTTGCCGAAAATTATTTTCAAAAAAAACTTGAAAATTGGATTTTGATAAATTTCTTTTTTTAGATTTCGATGGATTTTTTTTTTTTTTGCTAAAAGAAACCGATTTTTGATTATTTTTATTTTCGGCAAATACACTTTACAATGTTTAATTTTAAATTAATTTTTTTTTTTCATTAGGTTGCTTTATTGCATACCTTGACAACATCTTTAGCAAATGAAAATAGAAAATTTTGATTAAGTTTCATTTCATCGTTAAAAATAATATCCTGAAATTATACATAGTATTTGAGAGATGAAATTAATTTACTGTAGCACTATTATTAAAATATCAGGTTTGAATTAATTATGAAAAATTAATTACGGAAAAAGGATTTATTTAATTTTTAAAATTTGCTAAGCGAATTAGCCATACTTCAAGACTTCCACGTGTAGCAAATGTCCAAAGGATTAGCAATTCATTTTGTTGATTGAAGCAAATTCCATAAAATTTGTTCAAATTTTCATTTTCTAACATTTTCAACTGAAAAAATTTGCATTATTTTTTTGTTAAATATAAGAATAAATGTTATTTGTTTCACGTACGTGAGTAATTTTAATGTAAAGTAAGATATATTCTGTGTACAATTAAATAGCTATTCATTTAGTACGAACATGAAAGTAAGCACTACTTGTTTCACGTACGTGATCATTGTGCAAGTTATCTTAATGATATTTGTTCCTGTAATGTGTAACAGCAAAATTCAAACTTTTCTCTAACTTAATTAAATACTGTCTCCTTCTGTCCCCAATCTATTTCAATCTTTTTTTTTGCTTTCTATCGCAGAAAATATGGTATTCGAAAAATTTTAAAATTTATTTCTAAAATTTTAACATTCAAAATTTTCATAGAAATGAAAATATTGAAGGATAAATAAAAAAAATTCCAATGAATTGTTTTTTCATAAATTATTCCTTACCTGTTTTAAAATTTGTAATTCATTTTTTGGAAATGTAATATTTCGTACTTGACGATATCGACGAACTGATAATTTAACACCGTTACACATTGCACGTTCCATTGGAATCTTTTCATTTGTATTTGATTCATTGCTAATTAATGATTCATTAGTTTCCATTGATTTAATTGTACGCTAGAAGAAAAAACGTCTTTTGGTTTACCATGTAGATTACGGTTTTTTTGGTTTACCATATAGATTACGGTGTTTTTGGTTTACCATATGGATTACGGTGTTCTTGGTTTACCACATAGATTACGGTAATAAATTTAAACATGATTAAAACATCGCAAGCTAAGATAAAATAAAATTGCAATATAATTTACATCAGTAACGGAATCTAATAGACGAACTGATTCACGAGCAATACGCCATGTCATATCATAAAGTCGTTTTTCTTTTCTAAAATTTTTTAGCATTATATAAATTTTTAAATGATATAAAAGATGAACAACAGGAATTTATACGTGTTATTACGTGTTTCGCGTAATAATACGTGATAATATGTGTTTTACCTAATAATACGTGGTGGTTAACATAAATATGCTAATCAATCATACGGTCAAATAAGACTTTTTTTTTTTTGCTTTGTATTGATTTAATGAAAATGAACAAATTGATAAATGCTAAAGTAATTAAACGCATTTAATAAGCAAATTTAATATTAAATGTACTAAGTAAGTAAAGATTGATGATTAACAAACCCATTAATGTATATGAAATAACTAATGGCAATCGTAAGAAGTAAAAGGATTGCTGAAGCACCAGCTAATATATATTTCGTATAATCGCATAAACTTCCATCATATCCACACGATGGCATATGCAATGGTACTTTACCGTCTTCTGTCAACCAATAATTTGTCAAAATTTCATGTGGTACCTGAATAGGTAAATTTCATGTGGTACCTACCTGAATAGGTTAGTAGAAAAAAATGATAATCATATGTAAAGAGAGGCATGTGTATGTGTGCTTGTGTACATTATGTGTATAAGTTAGTTTTATAAGTACTTTTGAGGAGCCAAAAAATTAATTTAGTAAGTTTTCGGATATTTAAATATTTCATTCAAGTATTTACATCTATGAGTAAACTCAATATTTAGCTGATAGATTTTTTTTAATTGTTCAATAATTAACTTACAAATAGAAACTTGGTTAATTAAATTATGAATTTGAAAAAAAATACTGAAAATATTTAACAAATAATATAATAACCTTTCAAATTCTTTAACTAATACTTTTTTTTTGTTATTCAATTATTGCAATTTTTATTAATTAAGAAATGTAACTTTTTTTTTTGTTGAATTATTCAATTATTGCAATTTTTTTTATTGATTAAAAAATGTCGCAAAGTGGTAGGAAAATGATGTAAATATTGTTTCTAAATACATAAATATATAAATATAAATATTAATATAAATATAATCTTTTCGGTCCAGTACATTTTCCCAGTCCAATATCTCTTTTTTTTTCGGTTCAATATTTTTTATTCCGGTCCAGTATTCTGCATTTTTGTTCAGAAATTAAAAAGAAAAAACGGATTTCTTAGATTTTGCATAAAATTTTTTGTTAATTCTAATCAATAACAATTAAATCGTAATTTTATTGCTTTTTTTTTAGTTCCAATATTTTCAAATCAAATATGAAAGAATGATAATTAGCGAAGAAAAATTAGCATTAATTCAAAATTTCATTACGAAAGTATTCCGGATTTCGGGATTTTCCTACTGGTTAAACAGATATTATAACTTGAGTCATTTTTTTTTTCTCCTTCCATACTGAAACACAAATGATTATAATAGGCATTTAATCATGATATGTAAATGATGCAAGATAACTAACATGCAGCGAACAATCTCCTTTTTGTAGGCTACATGTTGCCGGATCACCAAGTTTTGCTTCCAGTTCAACAACAGTTCGTAAACTACCATTACATACTTGATATGTAATATAACTTGGTATTCGAACTGCTTCATTATCAATTAATACCTGACCAGTCATACCTGTAATAAATATGTATAAAAAATGATAATGCTTATATTATTGCTATCAAAAATTGATAAAAAGATATTTTTTAAATTTAATTTAAAACAGAAATTTATAAATTTCATTTTAGCAAATTCAATTTTTATTATACAATATTCTTAGCATAATTTTTTCTCTTCTTTTTGTTTTTTATAAATTATGCAGTCATTTTTTCTCTTTTTAACAAAACTAGGAAATAGTTTTAAAGAAAATTTTAAATTGTTTTTATTTAAAATTAATTTATCAAAATAATGTATGGGAAGCAGTGATAATGGCTGTTAATGATAAGGTTTGAAAAAATTTTTCCGAAAAAATTTCCGGAATTGCTTTTTTCAGTTTTTTTTTTTATTCTGTCTTTCTTTGTTTTCTTCTAATTGTTAATTTATTTAAATGAAAAATTTGTGTAGTATCACCTGAAAATTGGCGATTAGTCATTTTTTGCCAAATTAATGATCCATTATTGTTAATGTAATCATTACCAGTTATATCATATGCATCACGTAATGCAAGGCCATATAGGAATAATGCATCATATAATGACATATAAACAAGTGTTGCATACTGTAAACAAATGCCGCATACTGTAAAGAAATGAAAAAAAATTGTTTCTTAAACTAATGCCTATTTCTTGTGTTTTTTTTTTTAAATTAATAATTTTAAGGCTTTTTCTTTATTACCCTCCAATGTAATAAATAAAAATGAGAAAATAATGGCGAATTTATTCATTGAACTATTACTAATTTCACATGGATTTTTTGATGGTTTTAATTTTTAAATTAAGTTTTTAATTTTTTTTTTTAACTTCCTTTACCTTGAGGAGATAATGAAAGAAAGAAACAAAATTAAATGAAAAAAAAAAGATGAAACATACATGTGAAGAAGCCATATGACCTGTTTCGTTTGAAAATTTGTGCGCAAAATTTTGAACTAATTTACGATCATAACCTTGGGCTGTCATTACAATTGTATTTTCATAGGCCTGTTTTACCAAATGACTATCTTTGTTATGTATTATTTCCCATGGAAAGTAATCAACCGTCTAATAAAAGAAAAATTTTTAATTAATCAACAAACATTTTAATTAATTCAAAAAAGAATACTTTAAATTGTAATCATTTGTGTTTCTTTTCATTCTTTTTTTTTCTTCCATCATTGAAAAAACTTCAATACATATAGTTTAAATTTTCATACATGCATAAATGATTCATATTTGAATTAAAGCCAAGTTTGAATTAAATCATCAATATTTGAATTAAAATGAAAGAAAAATGTATATAAACATATTATGATTGATAATTTATCCATAGTTCTTTTTTTTTAAATTTTAATAATAACAAAAAAGATCAATAAATAATAATTATTTCGGGAAATTATAATAAGAATGATAATCATATTAACAACAATAAATTAATAAATGTTTGCTTAATAATAACTTACATGAGAAAGCCATGGTAGAATATATACGTATTCGGCATTTTTCATATTAGCTTCTAAAACTGCTAACATAAAATTGGTACAAGCATTAAGATCCAAACCCAATTCGACCACAATTACTAAATATTATCATGGATTATTATTATTATTATT